AAAGCAATTCAGTGGGAACTGAAAGGCTTGAGTTATGTATAATCTAACCTGGTTCGGTGCTATAATTATAATAAGATATAAGAATCCACCTAACCTACGTAATCAAGCATACGCATGCAAAATGTATAAAAACCAAAGCTAGAATAGCATAGTAAAGGCAAGGCAAGATAGCCAAGCAAGCATAAGCCATCGTACTCTCACACGTCGCCCCATCAAAGCTGGGTGACATGAAAAACACATTGCTTGACAAAAAAATCCTTGAGAGCATGGCGTGCGTTGCCCATATTAGCTGCTGCAACCCAACCGTCCTCCAAGGGGTGATATCCCTTCCAGCATATCAGGAACTCAACTATCTTGTCGCCCCAGCACCGATGAGTGAGAATCCTTTCCTGCCTCGTACTCTGGTTCATCCTGTACGAGAACAAGTGATGGTGGCGGTAGCTGCCGTCCCTAGAACTGTTGGTTGGGGTCCTTGTAGAGTTTCAGTAGCTGAACATGGAAAGCATTGTGAAAATTCCACATAGTAGGTAAGTGCAGGCGGAATGTAAGTGGTGCCATCTGTGCCTCAAAGTGAAAGGGACCACAGAAGCGAGGTCGGAGCTTGGATGGTCGGTGAGACAGGTTCAAGATGCAAGTGTCAAGGAGCACCTGATCCCTGACTACTACCATGTGATCACGCCGCTGGCGATCGGCATACTGCTTCTTCTTCGTGGTGAGACGTGGCTGAGTCTTCTCCCATATCTGCTGCATGGTGGTGACAAAGTCGTGAGCGGCTTGGACGTGTACCGGTGTGGTTCGCTGTTGTGGTGTAAGTGGTTCCCGTCCGTCGCACAGGAAGAAAGGAGATTTTCCTGTGGCCGCATGTGACGCATTGTTGTGAGCAAACTCTAGGGTCGGTGATTGTAAACCCCGGTGGCTGATGTCATCCTTGCAAGCGGTGCGCAGTAACTATTCAACCACCTGATTGAGTCGCTCAGTCTATCTGTTAGACTTGGGGTAGTACGCTAAAGACATCGCAAGCTTTGTCCATAACAAACTCATGAGTTCCTTCTATAACTTACTAGTGAATTTTGGGTTTTTGTTCGAGATGAGTGTAGTGGGGATGCCGTGGATGGTGATGAAGCGTGGCGTTGGTCGGAATGAAGTGTCCCATTTAAGAGACCTTATCGAACACCACAAGCACAGCGTCATGTCCACGTGAGGCTGAAGGAAGCCCAAGTCTAGGATGACAACTTGCCATGAATGCTCCGGTACGGGTAGAGGCTAAAGTAACCCTGCTTTTTTTTGCTTGCTACTCTTCATCCGCTGGCACGTGTCACATGAGGTGACGAGTTGTTGCACGTTTGCTGCCATTCTAGGCCAGTAGTAATATTTCGCTATCCCTGCTAGCGTCTGGTTACTCCTGAAATGTCAAGCGTATGCCACGTCGTGGAATTCCTCCTGTATGATCTGTCAGAAGTGGGGCATAATTCAGTACCCAAATCTTTCCTGAACCCTTCCTTACAGCTAAGTCTTTCTTCTAGTGTAACAACTTCTGTTTTTGTTGCGGTAGCGATCTCCGCATCCACTGAGTACCCATGTTGGATGACCCTTGAGCAGAGGGCTCATCCTGTCGAGCTGGATGCCTGTTACATAACCAGGGTGGCTCAACGCGTCTGCTTTGTTGTGTAACCCGGGCTTATAGACGATGTCGTAATGGAAGTGAGTTTCCAGGAAGTCTACCCACCGTATCTATCGTCGTGAGAATGTTGTTTGCGACTTCTGGTATTTGAGACTGCAATGGTCAGTGTAATCTGTGGTCTTCACTCCCTTCAAATAACACCTCCACACCTTGCATGTTGTGACTGATGCTAAGGCTTCCACAATGTAGTCCTTGTCCTTCCAGTGCTATCTATAGCTGCTCCATGGCTTGCTATTGAGGAGTATTTCATTTATAGGGCATATCCCTTTTCAATAAGTTTGTCAGTGGCGCTACTATCTTAGCGTACTATGGCATGAACCTGTTGTAGTAGTTGGCGAAGCCTACGAATTGCTGCAATTCCTTTACGATATCCGGTACTTCCCATTTCTTGACGGCTTCGATCTTCCGCTGGTCCACGTGTACGCCGTCGGTCAATGTGTCTGAGAAACTACACCTTCTTCCGGGCGAAGTCACTATTCGTCAGATTCACATAGAATTTGTTTTTTCACAGGATCTCGATAACTTTCTGCAGATGCTCTACGTGTTCCTTCATGTTCTTGGAGTAGATGAGAATGTCGTCCAAGTACACCACCTACGCATTCGTCCAGCAGGGGTCATAGGATGTAATTCATCTCCACCTCAAACGTCACTGGTGCGTTGCAGAGACCGAACAGCATCACTAAATATTAGTTGGAGCCATATCTGGTACGGAATGCCGTCTTGTGGATAGAGCATCTTGATCTGCAATAGCCCGACCGTAGTTCCATAAAAAACATCGTTGCACCACGCACTTGTGTCAGAAAGTAGGAATGAAGAAGTGAAATAGAGAAGAGGGTTTGCACTAGCAGGCAGTTGAGTACATGTAGGAAACCCTAATTTGGGCTATACTCGTTATAGTGTACCCCACTGCAGGCTAAACAAATATCACATTCTTACACACCCCCATAGTCAAAGTGGGGTATAATCAGCACAGCAAGCAGTCATAGAGCATGTTCACAAGTACAAGCAAAGCTAGAGGCATTCACAAAGGGCAAGTGAGGAGGAGGCGGGATTGTGAGAGGAGAGGAGATAGGAGGCGACGGCTGAAGCTGCAGACACACGGGCAACAGGAGTGGTTGGCACGGCGGCTACCGGAGCAGCGCCCCGGACTAAAGGAGTAACTGGCTCCGCGGCTAAGACGAGCGGCAGGAGCAACGGACCCACGGGCGACTGGCGCAGCAGGCTCGCTGGGCTACCGGTGCAGAGCCCCGGACTACTGGCGCTGCTGACGACACGACAGCTGCCTCCGCTCAACCTCCCCCAACTGTCCCACCCCCCTTTCACACACTCCCTGCTGCACCCCTAGCTTCACTCCCACGACACCCCCTTAGCGCCACTCCCTCAGCTCCCACACACCAATCCCCCTCAGCGGCAGCTGCAACATTGGGAGACGGAGGAGGAGGAGGAGGAGGAGGAGGAGGAGGAGGAGGAGGAGGAGGAGGAGGAGGAGGAGGAGCAGGGGAGGGCTCACACACCCGCCACCCCCATACCCGCCACCCCATACCCCAAACGCAGGCGGAGCGCAGGTCACTGGGGCTCTGCCACGGGCGACGGGAGGGGGGGGGGGGGGGGGGGGGGGGGGGGAGGGGGACGCGCGGGCCCCCAAGGTGCCGCGGCGGGCGACAGGCAGGGCGTCGCGCAGGCCCCCGGGGCGCTTCGACGGGCGACGGGAGGGGGGAGGCGGTGCGCGGGCCCCCGTGACGCCGCGGCGGGCAACGAAAGGGGACAGCGCGCGGCCCCCCCGGGCACTGCGTCGGGCGACGAAACCGCCGCGCGCGCCCGGGGCGTGCGGCGGGCAGGAAACCGCCACACGCCCCGAGCGCGTGGCGGGCAGAAAACCGCCACGCGCCCCTAGGGCGTGGCGGGAAGAAAAAACGCCACGCGCGCAGGGCGTGCGGCAGGCAGAAGGCGTCGCGCGCCCTGGGAGCACGATGGACAGGACAGCAGCGGAAGCTTTAGGTGGGCCCATCCATAGGGTCGACCAGGGAGGGTCGACCTGCTCTGAAACCATGTCAGAAAGTAGGAATGAGAGAAGTGAAACAGAGAAGAGGGTTTGCGCTAGCAAGCAGTTGAGTACATATAGGAAACCCTAATTTGGGCTATAGTTGCTATAAAGTACCCCACTACAGGCTAGACAAATATCACATTCTGACAACTTGGTCTAGAAGAACATTTATGCGCGGTATGGGGTATTTGTCCTTGAATATCTGTTCTTGGTATTTGTTCAGTGTCTGGTAGTTAATGCACATCCATAAACTACCGTCCGGTTTGTGTCAGAACTAGCAGTCAGAAACAAGAATGAAGAAAGGAGGGGTTGCACTAGCAAGCAGTTGAGTACATATAAGAAACCCTAAATTGGGCTATAGTTGCTATAGAGTACCCCACTGCAGGCTAGACAAATATAACATTCTAACACACCCCCATAGCCAAAGTGGGGTGTAATCAGCACAACAAGCACAGCTAGAGGCATTCACATCGGGCATGTGAGGAGGAGGAGGCTGGAACGTCCTGGGATGACAGAACACGGCGCGAGGTGGGGTGGTAAAACTGCCGACCAGGCGCGTCAGGGGGGAAGCCAAGGAAGACGCAGGGAACCGCACGGGGGGAAAGCTTGTCCGCAGACAAGTCGCGGACAAACGCCCGAGATCCCCAGACACAAAACGCAGATGCATCGCCAACCTTCCCCGTCCACCGCAAGGTGGGGGAGGTCTCCGGCACAGAGACTCGGGGCTGAAGGTTGATCTGATGCGCTGCGTACCAAACCGCAAACGGCCACAAAAAATGGGGAGCAGCCGCATGGATCATGGACGTACGAGCGACGTCCACTGACCATACCAATGCGGCGCTCAGCAATCCCATTTTGCTGTGGAGAGGCCGGAAGCGTGAAGGTCTGGCGGATGCCCTGTGCACGACAGAAGGCTCCCAGAAGGCCAGAGGAAAACTCCCCGCCTCTGTTTGAGTGCAGACGCAGAACAAGAAAGTCCGAGCCGAAACTCTCTCTGAGCTGGAGACGAGCCGCGTGGATCCAGTCGATCAACACCTCAGTGACGTCACCCTCGCAGCGCAAGGGGAATACCGTGGTGTAACGCGAGTAGTCGTCAACCACCAAAAGGAAGCAACGCTCGTGACCGTGGCCACGGACGCGGGCGGGGCCCCACACGTCCATGTGAAGAGTCTGCAGCGGAGCCTCTATCGGAGGAGACCGGGGGAGACCAGAGACAAGGACACGAGAGGCCATGCCTCGGAGACGAGGCAGGGAGGGGTGACCAAGGCGGTGGTGCTAGAGGAGAGTCTGGTGGGACAGGAGACGATACGAGCAGGGAGCAGACTCAGGACTAGACCGGGACGCTGCAGGAAACACTTGACTCGACGCTGCTACCTGACCACACTCAGCAACCAGAGGAGACTCAGTAGTCAGTGTGTACAGGATTGACCCCGGCCGACGGGTAAACGTGGTGCGGTCTCGAAAGAAGGAGCGGGAAGCACCCGAGTCAAGGGTGAAGGTGTGTAAGGCCTGAGCCGACGTGGTACCTAAGATAGCAGACTCACCAGTACCTGGGGCAGCAGACGCACTAGCACCTCGAGCAGCAGCCTCACCAGCACCTAGAGCAGCAGCCTCAATGCCCGGGTCAGGCGGAACACACAGGTAACAGTCACCCTCATCACTAGTAGACACAGCATACATGGCAGCAAGAATAGCATCATAATCAAGATCAAAGATAGCAACCCCCGACCTCTGCAGCTCTCCCCAGCGAGGGATCTCAGTGGCGTCAGGGAATTGGAGACGCCAGGCGTCAGGCGGCCGAAACAGCGCTGGGTGGGGTGCGAGGCCCCGCACAGCTCACACGTACGGTCGCCGGTACGCAGGACGTAGGTACAGGGACCAGTACCCCCACCCCACTGACGCGAAGCGTACCACTCACAAAGCTGCTGGGGGGGCGGGGTCTCACGAGTGCGCTGCTGCTGCTGGCGCTGACCGCCACCGAAGCCGCCCCGCTGCGCAGAGCCACCCCGACTAGCTCCACCTCCTCCGCCGCCACCTCTGCCACCGCCGCCACCGCCTCCTCCTCCGCTCCCACCGCCACCGCCGCCGCCGCCTCCGCCGCCACCGCCGCCACCGAAGCCCCCACCCCCTCCACCACTCCCACCTACCACCCCCACTCCCTCCGCCTCCTCCACCGCCACCTCCACCGCCCCCGCCAGCCCCTCCAGCGCCCTTGCCCCCCTTGCCCTTGCCGGTGCGGCGTCGCCCGCTAGGGGCAGACGCAGCGCCGACCGACTCGGTGCCAACGAAGTCGACGGCAGCAGCAGAGGCAACAGAGGGCAAAAGGGGGGAGGGGGAGCACCCCTCAAAGACAGGGGCACGAGGGTCACCTCGAGAGGCTCCTACAGCGACTATACTCTTCTCAGCTGCTAGGAGGCGCTCCTCGAGGATGTCAATGGTGAGTGTGGTGGGGAAAACAGAGAGGAAGTGGTCCCTGACTGATTGAAGGGAGTCTGGGAGCTGGGTGACTATGTAGTAAAGGGTGATGTACATGGGGGGGGGGGTTCTTGGCGCAGAACTCAGCAGGAAGCGCAGCGCGGTAGCGGGTGTCACTAGTGCGAAGGTGCGTAACTAGGTCAGCGACAGTGGGAAAGGCGGCGAGGTTAGGAAACAGGTACAGCAGCATGAGGCGGCTAAGGGCAGCAGTGGCAGGGGAAGAGTAGCGTGCAACTACAGCGTCGTACAAGGTCTTAGCACTCTTGTACTGACTAAAGTGCGCACGCTCAGCGGTCGGTAAGTGGCGAAGCACAGCAAGACGGGCAGCAGCATCGCGTGTGGCCCACTGTGAGCGAACAGTGCTGTCAGCATCAGCAGGCGGGGCAGGAGAGGCACCAGAGATGAGATCGAACAGAGAGAGTCCGTCTGCCCTATCACATTGTAGGAAGAGCTGTAGGTCATCGACCCAGACCTGGAAGTCAACAGCATGACCCTCAGCATCAAAGGTAAGGACATTGAGGGTAGCTAGACAGCAGTGGTCTAGCAGGGAGTGCTCTCACCAGTCCGGGTGGGTAGGGCCGGGGCGCGCCGATAGGAACAGGGCTGCAACTGTGGTGGCAGCTGCTCGGCAGGGGCAATAGCGGCTCGACGGCGGCTCGGCGGCAGCGGCTCGGCAGTGGCGGCTCGACGGCGGCCTCTGCGGCTCGGCTGCTCAGCGGCTCGGCTACTTGGCTGCTCGGTGGCTCGGCGGCTTGGCGGCTCGGCTGCTTGGCGGCTCGGCGGTGAAGGGGCCGGGAAGGGTGGCGACGGGGCCACGAAGGGCGGCGACGGGGCCGAGAAGAGGCCGCGAGGGGCCGTGAAGGGCGGCAACGGGGCCGCTAGAGGTGGCGACGGGGCCGCGAAGGGCGGCGACGGGGCCGTGAAGGGCAGGCGTCGGGGCCGCTAGGGGCGGCGACGGGGCCGCGAAGGGGCCGCGAGGGGCCTCGAAGGGCGGCGTCGGGGCCGCTAGGGGCGGCGACGGGGCCGCGAAGGGGCCGCGAGGGGCCTAGAAGGGCGGCGACGGGGCCGCAAAGGACGGCGAGGGGGCCGTATAGGGTGGCGACGGGGCTGCTAGGGTGGCGACGGGGCCGCTAAGGGTGGCGCGAGGGGCCGTGAGAGGAGCCTCTAGGAGGGCGCGACAGGCCGCTAAGGGCAGGGGACGCGACGAGAGGGCGGCCCACGGGGCGCGCCTCGGGTAGGGGCGACTCGCGCTCCGGTCAGGAAAAAAAAAAGTTCGATTTCAGTGGTGGGCCCTAGGAAGCGTTCCCACTAGGGAACCTGCTCTATACCATGTGAAGAAATGAGGAAAGAAAATGACTAAGGAGAATGTGGGTACAAGTGGGAAACCTAGAAATGTTGTACCCTATAGTGTCCACCCCACTACAGCCTAGATAGACCATAGCATATAAGTTTGACAATAGGAAACCCTAAATTGGGCTGTACTCGCTATAGAGTATCCTACTGCAGGTTAGACAAATATAACATTCTGACAGTTTGGAGTGAAGAGAACTGGTGCATCGTAGGGAGAGGTGGATGGGCGGATCAGTGGTCTGTCCAGTAGATACTCTATCAGCTTCTTCTTCATGTCTGTCAGTTTGGTCGGACTAAGGTGGTGTAGTGCACGTGAGACGGGTTTCGCACCTGGTTCCTCGACAATCTCGTGCTCATGGGTTTGCACTGGAGGTACTTCTGCAGGCAGGTCGTCTGGCATGATGTCTTTGTACTCCTCCAACACCTCTTGTACTGCTGCAGGTAGCTCCGAGTTTGGCTTCTCCTCCTCTAGTGCTGCCATAACCAGTGCTAAGCAACCCGTGTTACTCTCGTTCACCGTCCGTTCGAACCATGAAAGTGTCATTTTGGGAACGTCCCATGTATTCGTCCAGCTTCGCAGCTCCACACATTTCCCGTTGTTGTAGATGCACGCCTTCTGGTTGACCTTATCAATCTCGGGGTTGAACCGCTTAAGGAAATCTCACCCCAAGATGAAATCTAGCTTTTCTATATTCATGATCGGCAACGTCAGCTTCCATCTCATCGCACCTATATGCAGTTGCATTGATGCTTCGCCGTGGATGAGAAGTTTCGTACCGTCCACCATCGTTGCCGTAAACTGGGTTTGCTCCGAAGGTTCTACAATTTTCTCCAACGTCTCGCAGTTGCATACTGAGTGGGACGCCCCACTGTCCACCAGTGCCTGGAGGGGTAGTGGTTTCTGCTGTGCTGAGTAGCTAAAGATAGTCTCGTTAGTTGGATCATAGGGTACATCAAAGAAATTACCATCCCTATTGTCAAACATTTATGCTATAGTCTTTCTAGGCTGTAGTGGGGTAGACAGTATAGGGTACAGTTTTCTAGGGTTACATATTTGTACCCAACTCATTTCCTAGTTTTTCACATGGTATCAGTGCAGGTTCCCTAGTGGGACCGTTTCTTCCTAAGGGCCCACCATTACAATTTTTTTTTCCTAACCCGCCTGAAGCGCGCTTCGCGCTCTGACCTGCCCTACCCTTTCGCGGCCCCTTAGCGGCCTCTTCGCGGCCCCTTCACGGCCCCTTTGCGGCCCCTTCGCGGCCCCTTCACGGCCCCCTCAAGGCCCCTTAGCGCCCCCTTCGCGGCCCTTTCGCGGCCCCTTAGCGGCCCCTTCGCGGCCCCTTCACGGCCCCTTCGCGGCCCCTTCGCGGCCCATTCGCGGCCCCTTCGCAGCCCCTTCGCGGCCCCCTTCGCGGCCCCCCTCGCGGCTCCCTTCGCGGCCCCTTCGCGACCCCGCCCCGCTACCCGTAGCGGCCCCGCCCCGTTGCCAGTCGCGGCCCCGCCCCGTCGCCAGTCGCGCCACCGCCCCGTCGCCCCTGTCTCGTCGCGACACCTCAGCGGGACCCGCGCGTCGCCCCCGCCTCGCCGCGACGCCCCTGCGGGACCCGCGAGGCGCGGCTCCTGCGCGTCGCGACGCCCCTGCGGGACCCGCGTGGTGTCGCCCCTGCCCGCCACGGCGCCCTGCCCGCGCCCTGGAGCAGCCGCCACTACAACAGCCGCCCCTGGAGCAGCCGCCCCTGAAGCAGCCGCCCCTGCAACAGCCCCCCCTGGAAGAGCCGCCCCTGCAGCAGCCGCCCCTAGAGCAGCCGCCACTGCAGCAACCGCCCCTGGAGCTGCCGCCCCTGCGGCAGTCGCCCCTAGAGCAGCCGCCACTGCAGCAACCGCCCCTGGAGCTGCCGCCCCTACAGCAGCCGCCCCTGGAGCAGCCGCCCCTGCAGCTGCCGCGGAGCCCTCGCCCTGTAGTGGTAGCGGCCTCGCCGTTGCCGCCGTCGTACGCCTGCTCTTCTCGCCACTGGTGAGCACTGCCCTGCCCGTACTGCTGTTACTGTTGCTCTTGCTGCTCCTGCTCTTTCTACTGCTACTGCTGCTCCCGGCGTGGCCAGATGCAGCTCCAGCACCGTCCGCGTGAGTCCCTCGCCCCCCGACAGCTTCGTGAATGGTACGCTAGTTGGGGTTGTAGGGGTGGCCGCGCTGCGACTAGTGCTACTGCTGCTGCTACTGCGGCTACCACTGCTCCTGCTGCTCCTGGCGGTGGCCAGATGCAGCTCCAGCGACGTCCGCGTGAGACCCTCACGTCCCAGCAGCTTCGTGAGTGGTACGCTCAGCGTGGAGGGTCACGGGGTACTGCTCGCTGTCCGTACGTCATTCGCACTGGTGCTCGGACTGGTCAGCCTTGCGGGACGTTTGGTCACGCAGAGTCCCGCTGCTTCGCCCGTCTGAGCGACGCCTGGCGTACGGAGTTTGCAAAGCGGCTGAGCTCCCCGACTGGGTGGAGCTGCTTAGGCAGAGGGTAGATATCTATGCTCTTGAATATGATGCTATCCTTACTGCCATGTATGCATTGCCTACTAGTGCTGAGGGTGCCTGTTACATGTGTGTGCCGCCTGACCCCGGTATCCAGTCTGCTGCTCTAGGTACTGGTGAGGTTGCTGCTCTAGGTGCTGGTACGTCTCCTGCTCCAGGTGCTAGTGAGGCTGCTGCTCTAGGTGCTCGTGAGTCTACTGCTCTAGATGCTGGTGAGTCTGCTCTCTCTGGTACTGCGCCTACTGCGGTCTTACACACCTTCACCCTTGACTCGGGTGCTTCCCGCTCCTTCTTTCGAGACCGTACCACCCTCACGCCGCTCAGTCTGCCGGTTGCGGTCTCCCTGGCAGACCCCTCTGGAGGTCCTGTCCTTGCCCACTTCTCCGCTGTACTACCATGTCCAGCGGCCCCGTCTGGCTCCCTGTCAGGTCTTTACCTCCCCTCGTTCTCTACGAACTTGGTGAGTGGTGCTGACCTGCAGGATGGGGGAGTTTACCAGTTCACTCCTGCGAGTCAGCGGGTTACCCACTGCACGTGTGCTCGGACGGGCCGACACTTGGCCACGTTTACCCGTCAGCCGGGGTCGAGCCTTTACACACTGACTACTGAGTCTCCTCCGGTTACTGCGGCTGGTCAGGTAGCTGCGTCGGGTCAGGTGTTTGCTACAGCGTCCAGTTCTGGTTCTGAGTCTGCCCCCTGCTCGTGTCGCCTCCTGTCCCACCAGACCCTCCTCTGGCACCACCGCCTGGGTAATCCCTCCCTGTCTCATGTCCGAGGCATGGCCTCCCGTGTCCTTGTCTCTGGTCTCCCCCGGTCCCTCCCTCCCCTTCCTCCGGGGCCTGCCCCTACGTGCGTTCCCTGCGTCGAGGGGCGGCAGCGCGCCGCTCCTCACTCCTCCAAGTTTCCGCCGACAGAGGCTGCGCTGCAGACTCTTCACATGGACGTGTGGGGCCCAGCCCGCGTCCGTGGACAGGGTCACGAGCGTTACTTCCTCTTGTTGGTTGACGACTACTCGCGTTACACCACAGTCTTCCCCTTACGCACCAAGGGTGAGGTCACTGGGGTGTTGATCGACTGGATCAGCGCTGCTCGTCTCCAGCTCAGAGAGAGTTTCGGCTCGGACTTCCCTGATCTGCGCCTGCACTCCGACAGAGGTGGAGAGTTTTCCTCCGACCTTTTGCGAG